GCCACTATCATCAACTCCCAGGTCACTTCTGTCTTGGACTCCACCCCTGTCCTTGTCATTGCCCTGGTTTCATTGTCATCATAGGTTTCCTAGTCACTACCATCATGGGCTCCCTTATCACTGCTGTCACTGGTTCTGTCACCTCCCTCATTGCCATCTTCACTGCCATCTAAGCCAACAGACACCACAGTGCACTGATAATTAGAGCTGGGAAAATTTTTCCAAACAGTTCATTTGCCCAAAAAATGTAGTTTTGGTCAATCCAAAACAACTTGTGAATTAGAAAGAAATGCTTTTGGCCATTCACAAAATGGCCAAAGGAGGAGGTGGTGGTAACCTGCTCCCCCTACTCCCACCTCTTATAATGTTTAGCCCAGTGATTAGGACCCTCATCCGGGACACAGAAGACCTAGGTTTGAATTCCTGCTCTGGAACAGACCCCAAAATGGACTTTCAATTCACCAAAAATTCCAAAAAGAAATTCAGATTCAGTTCAACCCAAACTAGATCTTTTTTAACTGCCACCAAACCAAAAAAATCAGTTATTTGTCTAGCTGTACTGGTAATGTTTATTAATACAGCTGATCTAATACTATTTAGTTGAACAATGTATTTGATGAATGTCATCATTCAAATAAAATATCTGACAAAAATGTGTTGTGTTATTCAACCAGTTTTTTTACTTTTAATTATATTCCAAAAAAAAAGTTTTATTCGTCAAATAGCTTTGATAAATTATTCACTAGTCAAAGAGCTCTGTTTATTAAGGTAATTTATGAAAATGATTCAAATGAGCAAGATTCCAAACCAAGGATTTAAAAAAAACATAAGAATATGATACATGCAGGATCTTTACAGAAAAGATAAATCTCTAATAGTTTGTTGCTGAGTGACAGATAGGTATTAAGGTGAAATACTGACACCCACAGGACAATAGTTGTACTTAAAAAATATCTCCAGTTACAGTTCTATTTGGACTTTGGGAAATTCATTTAGGGCCGAATCCTGCCCTACCCAAATCACCCAATTGGGTCCTGCTTAAATCATGAAACTTGAGCTTTCTTAAAGACTTGCAAAAAGATAAAGTTAGATGCTATGCATTTATAACGTGTTTGCAAAGTTAAAATTACAACTGAAATCAATAGGTGTTAAGGGTTATTTTTAGGAGCAGCATAAGAGAGAAAATTCTAAAAATCCCAAAGTTAGCTACCATGAATTATCATGGAATTCTTTCCCTTCTGTATGCTACTAAAAAAACAAAACAAAACAAAAAATCCTTCTATCCTTGTAGTTTACACTGACTTTGGTAAATTCATTTAGGGCCTGAAGCCTATGTTATCCAGATCACCCACTGATTTCAGTCTAGTAGAAGAGGACAATTCCCAGCTGGTTAAGCCTATAAAACTTGATAGTTTTGAATAGATTTGAGCAAACTTCTAATGTGTAGGACCTCTTTGCCTTTAACAGTTCACTATGGGATTAAACGAGTAAGAGTCTGCAGGATGTACAATAGCAAATAGATGAATGCTTGACATATGCAATACATAGAATGTGCAAATTTATTTGGTGTTTTATTCTTTTACTTCGTGAAGAGTGGTAAAGTGAAGAGATTTAATGTGAGCAGACCTAGAACTAGTGTTTCTCTTCATTTCTGATTTTTTTTTTTTTGCTTGTTTCTTTGTAATTGCCATTATGCTATAAGCCAGAGTTCAGAAAGGATCAAAGAGGATTACTTTAAGGAAGCAGGAATCTCATTTCTTTTCTTCCATAACTAAGCAAAAGGTCAAAAGCTTTCCTATATTCAAGAACACAGGTCAACTTTCTAAAAGTCAAATACCAGCCTGAGCTTTCTGGAAGGGTTTGCAACTGGATTCAAGTACCAGAATGCTGAGATTCTATAAGGTGATAGTTACTTATTGGCCTGAATCAGAACTCCAAAAAAAGATTCGTACCTGAATACTTAGTTGTGTAGTAATTTCAACATTTTCTGTACTCTTCAAAGCTGGCTCTGTACTTGGAATTACCCCCTTAATTTTAAGTATGAAGTGAAGTCAGTGGGAGTTAAGCATGTTTTTAAGTGCTTTGCTGAGGCCCTGAGTCACCAGGATATTAAAGTATGTGAGTAGTCTCATTGCCTAAATTTACACCCATGTGTAAGTGCTTTGCTGATCAGAATCCTAATTTGAGAGCTCAATGATGCCTCGTTAAGTTACTGTCTTTTCTGGGGGCAAATTAATGGAGGATATGGGGCCAAAGCTGGGTCTCAAGAAGTACTTTGGCTCTTAGTGGAAGAATAATGGCTGGATGGGGAGCTACAGGGTGCAATTTTTATGCTCCATGATCATCTCTCTGAAAACCAATGGAGAAGAGGGTTTAGGAGGAAAGATATTGCAATGACTGAACTTATCTTCTGATAATTTGAAGATTTTGCTACTTCAAGGGCTGAAGATACTCTGATAATATATTATGGAGATTAATATAATTGGTTAACAGTGCCTCAGTCCGTAAGTGCCACATTTTACTGCCATGTCCAGAAGAAACACACCTGAAAGGGAAAAGCATTTTGCTGTGTTTTGATCTACAACACATTTTATTTGTAAACATTTGTTACATGTGCCAATAATTTAACTGAACACAAGGTTTTGTACATTTCAATGTATACTATTAACAATGTCATACCAGAAAAAAATCAACTGTATTGAGTTACAGTTGTACTTGAAAACCTTCAGAATACAAACTGTGTTAGAAACACTGAACAAGAAAAGAAAAAAAGGTTTGAGAACAATGCCAGAGAGAATTTTTGAACTGCTACGTGATAGAAACCACAATGAAATCTTGTTAGTTGGCGCCTATATCTCAAGATAAATCCAGCTAAAATACTGCTTAGGTTGACCGAACTATTCTGAAAGCACAAAACAAACCACTTTTTTCTTTAACTTAATAGACTTCTTGGAAGGTAGATGCTTAAAATAAATTTAAAATATTATGAACTTGATTTTCCACAATTAAAAATTATTTGAAGAAAAAAATTATATTGTCTTTATTCTTAATAACAATATAAAAAGATTATTTTGGTTTGAATGGAGGTCTTGCCGTTGTTTACATCGCATTTAAAACAAAATGTTGTACTTTGAATAAAGCATCTGGACCATACCCAGTATTACAGTTGCAGTTGAGTTTATGGTATTTTAAGGTCTTTCTTTGGTAGTCACCTATTCAGTAAAATTTCCAAGCCTGTGTGTCTATAGTTAGGTTCCTAAATCCATCTTAAAGCACCTAAATAAGAGTAGATTGATTTTGAAAAGCTGCCAAGTACCTGCAGCTCTTATTGTTAACATTCAGATTTGTAGGTATTTAGCAATTCTGCAAATCAGGCTACTTTTATTTAGAAGCCTAACTTTAGGCATCCAAGCCAATAATAGTGAACAATTAAAAACAAAATTTTAAAAAAATTAATTTTGAGGTTGCAGATGATAGACTTTTACACGAGCTACCATAATTGTACATATCTGTATATACACAATGTACAGGTGACAGCCGATATAAAGTATCTTGCTAGCTAACCTACGAAAGCTCACTGCAGTATTTTAAATAATGCCTACAATACTGAAAAAGTAAAGCATCACCTTCAGTATAGGTCTCTCCACTGTGTTAGACTGTGGATTAATGTCTCTTCATGTAGGATATTAATTCTCGGACAGATCAGACTTTGGTCTGCTTTCTATGCTATTTCCCCCCTTACTAATATCAATAAAGAACATGTAGCATACCTATTTTTTCTTTTTAATTTCCTTTGAAGGCAATAAGACAACCAGTATCAATTTTAAAATATGAACAATTTGTACACTTCCAATAAAGAAGTCAACCTTTTTTATTGTAGTGTACACACTAATCAATACATGAAGTCAAGCTCTGTAATATGTGCAGAATAAGCAAGTTCAACTGCGATTGGTAAAATATAAAGGGGGAAGAGACAAATGTGAGAAGAGTATTGCACTGATCATGCTGAAGTACTTACAACTTCCAGTTTTCAGCTGGAGAGAAAGTGACACATTCACACTTAACAGGAATGTTAACCAAGTGAGAAATAAGGAAATAATCGAAGATTCCATTCTAATTCAAATCACTGTTCCATCACATTAGGGTACTTTTTTTTCCCTTTTAAAACATATATCACATCAAATATTTTCTTCTTACCCTCTTATCAAACAAATACAAAAACTGAACATTACTACATTTATCATGTACAATTTCCAGCACTGCACGTTGCACAGGTTCTTGGTCCAATAATTGCTTAAACTGCAGGCAGGTGCTGACAGCGTGGTTCAATTTCATTTTAAAGATAGTATATGAATGAATTCCAGTAAACAAAAAGTCATCAGAAATTTTTAGACACTAATCTTCAAAATATTTTACATGCTTGTTGTTTTCCTAGTGTGCTTAACTGGATACAATGTATTTAAACTGGCAGGAAACCACCTTGCAGAGTTAGTATAAACTAAAATGAAGTAACACTGCACAAATTCCTCCCACCTCTAGGGAGGAAGCCTTCTAAACCTAGAAATGATTAACGTTTATATTGGTCATGAGTAGTTGATGGCTTAAGGAAAATTTAAAAGAATTATTTAAAGAAATACATCTGCCTAAAGATTTTCTGCACTTTTTTTCTGCATTTTTCTTTATTGAGGACACCCACATAAAAACCAAAAGCTTTGTTCTTTTAGTGTTAAGTCTTCTCTGACTGTTTATTCTGCCATTCAAATTTTTGGTTTGTGACACTCTTTTCTACAGCGACGTTACAAACATAAACAAACAGCTTCCGGTGAGGAATAAGTGACAAAAGGAAAGACAAGGTGGGTGAGGTAATATCTTTTATTGGAGCAACTTTTGTTCGTGAGACACACAAGCTTTCAAGCTTACACAGTGCTCTTCTTCAGGTCTATTCTGTGTAAGCTCAAACCCTTGTGTCTCTCACCAACAGAAGTTGTTCCAATAAAAGATATTACCTCATCCACCTTGTCTCTCTAATATCCTGGGTCCAACACGACCCCAACAACACTGCATATGAGAGAAGCAAACATGCTTAAGGCGCAAAGATCCTAGTTTTATGTAAGTGCTCCAATAAAACAATGGACAAGAGAAATACACTATTACATATGTAAACAGCTTTCTAGGAACAGAGGGAACCAAATTAATCCCTGGTGCAATTCCATTGCTCTCCATGAAGTTACACCAAGGATGAAATTGACCCAATCTTTTTCCAAGATTTCCTAGAGGCATCAGCAGGATTTTATGTCTTCAAAACTTAAGACCTCATAGAAAGTGTCAATTCATTATTGTTATGTTGATTTACCAAACCAAACCTTCATTATCATCAGGCTGATCTACATAATATACAGACATCGGCAACAATTCTTAATGCCCCATAATACCACCTTGATAAAGAATTTTTACTATTTGAACACTACTGAGCCTTTCCAGAGCCAAATTTCTTACCTATAAACAGAATTCAGTAATAAAATACAAAACTAAACAGGATTTATATGTCTGAGCAACGAACATATAAAATTACTATTGCAATTTTGTGGTGACAGCATAGAAATTTAACAATAATCAGAAAGCCTAAAAAGGGTGTGTTTAGAATTATAAAAGAAATAGCGATTATCTCAAGATACAAATATAGTGCTGATAGCGGAAGAGCTTTCTGTTGCAGCAGGAAATGCGCCAACGAATAACAAGTTGTATACAGTGTGTTTCCCCAGTACTGCAACACAACACACTTAAAAACACTACTTTAATATGGGTTATGCTGCAGCAGCAAAACACTTCTTAGTGGTCTGCAGTATAAATTAATCGTAATAGACAAAGAAAAAAGGCATTAAGTGAGCAGTGCACGGTGAAACCAAACTATTTGATTTGTTCTTTAAGTACGTTTGCAATAAGAACTGGGGACGGGGATTGTCCATTCCATTCGGATAACATGCCTTCTTTGAACATTAGATTCTTGGCAGGAAGTGGAACACCTATGTCTGCAGAAGTAGGTTGTGAAAACAAACTTGAACTGGTGTCAGAGAGCAGATCCAGTGTTGAAATACCTTCCTAAAGACAAAGGGAAAAATACAATGTTTTTAAATAGGAACAAAGGACCAACAAGGGTGCTTTAGTACTAACTGGAGTTCTATTGACTCATTTAAGCCATACATCTGCATTTTGGAGGGTCTATGAATGCTACTTTCAGCCACTGAAGTTTTGAATTTTTATATAGGTAAGTGCATGCGCCACTGAATGGGTCAGGAGTTACTTGACTCTTCTGCTATGTCTACATACAAACTCTCTTGGGTCCAAAAAGGCTTCTGGAAAAATCCAAAGTGGAATTAAAAAAAACCTCAACCAGAATTCCATTTACTAGTAAGTAACTAGCCACTGAAAACATAGCTGAAGCTGGTGTTTGCCCCAGTGTCAGAGTACAATAATCTTTACAAAATTGTGCTCTCTTCCCAACTTGCATGAAACTTACCTTCAGGCCCGTGTGAGCTATCTGACCTGCAAGGAAACATAAGAAAGTCCAAGGAACTGTACTTCTTGGGATTTCTGTATGTTGTTCCTCTGCAAGGCAGACTCTTTCTATTAGTCTCCTACTCTTATCCTTAGGCTCTCTTTTTTCCAGACTGCCATCTACATTGGGAACTCCCTCAAAAGAAAGATGATCACCCTCTCTCATTCAAACACCTCTAAACCATTTAGTAATGCTGCTCCATTTCATTAAAATCACTGTGTCTCATCAATCAAGTCATTCTAAGATAGAACCATCCTCTGTCAGTTTTGCGCCCTTTTACCTGATTTGTATTGACTATTTAAGACTATACACTCATCAGAGCAGGAACCACATCATCCTTGATATCTTGTACAAGAAACACATTGTTGGCACTTAAACAACAATACATGTGTAGATATATTTATTTCTCTCATTCTGGTTAGCGTGAAGAGGTGTGTGTGTGGGGGGGTCACTTCCACTTTTTCATTCCTGGAATCCTTACCCAAAAGTATTTCATCACCAAATTCTCTAGCACACCCCCACACGTCTTTCAGGGTACGTCCAGACTACCCGCCATATCGGTGGGTAGCGATCGATTTATCGGGGATCGATATATCGCGTCTCAAGACTCGATATATCGCTCCCCGAACGCGCTCCCCATCGACTCCGGAACTCCACCAGAGCAAGCGGCGGTAGCGGAGTCGACGGGGGAGCTGCGGCCGTCAATCCTGCGCCGTGAGGACAGGAGGTAAGTCGGAATAAGATGTGTCAACTTCAGCTACGGTATTCCCGTAGCTGAAGTTGCGTATTTTACATCGACACCCCCCCCCACAGTGTAGACCAGGCCTCATTATGTATTATAACTTTATATGATTTCACGAGCAATGTATTTTATAAATACAAAATCATTTGTACTTTACATGCCAGATATGTGGGTCATTCCACCAATTTCTGATTACACCACTAGATAATCTCCATCATTTAGTACCCCCTTCTAAAAACACACGAAAGCTTATGCCCAAATAAATCTGTTAGTCTTTAAAGTGCCACCAGACTCCTTGTTGTTTTTGTAGATACAGACTAACACGGCTACCCCCCGATACTTACCCCCTTCTAGTTCTTGCTAGTTTCCAGTGCTCCTTGCATTTGGATACAAAATTTAGAATGTTAAGATCCTTCATGTTTGGTCTTCGGATTTTATCTTCTGCAATGCTATGTATGTTGGAATTACATCACAGGACATTTGAATTAAGCAAAAAGCTTCTTCTCTTCCTTTTCTAATGAGTTTAAAGCAGGGCTTGTGTAGGAGTTCAATACTTCTTCAGTCTAAGAAACAGGTATCTAATCCAAATAGGCTTTCTTCACAAAAGGAATTTCAGTGCTCTGAAAATCAAACTCTCCCTTGTCCATCAGCACATTAAGTCAGTTCACTGGTATCAATCTTCTCATGTGTGCTACAAGTTCCCAAAGGACCTCAAAGACCACTTGCACTGCTGCCATCTGTGTCGGACTGAGGCTAATTTAATGCACCTAGTTGGAACTACTGTTTGACGCTCCAGGAGGAATCTGCTTCAAGTAGAAATGAGGACTACTTACTTGAGGTTACTTGGAGTTCTTTCAGGTTGCCTACAATGGCACATGGCCCATCTATGACTGCTACTAGCAAATATCTCCAACAGCTGGAGACAACTTTAGATGGGAAGCGCTCTGAGTTACTACAGTGAATTCTTTCCAGGTATCTGGCTGGTGGGTCTCATCGACATGCTCTGAGCCTAACTGATCACCATATTAGGAATCAGGAAGGAATTTCCCCCCAGGTCAGACTGACAGAGACCCTAGAGGTGGGGGGCTGCCTTCTGCAGCATGGGGCACAGGTCACTTGCTTGTTTGAACTAGAGTAAATGATGGATTCTCTGTATCTTTAAATCATGATTTGAGGAATTCAGTAACTCAGTCAGAGGTTATGAATCTATTACAGGAATGGGTGGATGAGGTTCTGTGGCCTGCAATGTGCAGGTCAGACTAGATGATCACGATGGTCCCTTCTGACCTTAAAGCCTAGGAGTCTGTGAGATGATTCTGCAGATCTGCATTTATGGATAATGCGCCAACCAGTGCAGCCTAACAGTAGAACCTTCTCCAAGCAGTGCCAGTTAGAGCACACGCGCCCTCTCCTCACCTTTGAATGTTCTGAGGGCGAGGCTATAAAAGGGGGCACTGGCACTTTACTGCCTTAGTTCTTTCTATCGCTGACCCAGAGAAACCAGGATAGGACTCTGAGAAATAGTGTGCGGGATGTGTGAATATGCAGAGTCATCTTGAAGAACTCTGGTTATTAGTAAATAACCTTAATTTCTCCTTCAAGTGGCTCTGCATAGTCCCACTTATGGATAGTTTGGCAAGCGATGCTGTAAACTCAGGAGGAGGGAACAGAGTCCTAATTAAATAACGACTGAAACACTGCTCTACCAAATCTAGCATCCTCTCTTGAAGCCAAATCCAAGGCATAATGTTTAGTAAACGTACGCACTGACTTCCAAGTAGCAGCCTTGCAGATTTCTCCAATAGGAACATGTTTAAGACAAGCCCTGGAACCCTTACAGGAGTGCAAAGTGTCATCAGTCTTGTCTGAGAACAAGGTCCAGCCATCAAAGAGCAAATCGATTTAACTAGCTTTGTCATTTTTGTGTAGTTCCTCTTTTTGAAGTTAAATGCTATTGTGGTGGGTTTCTTTAGCATTTCCCCCCCTAGCAGGATGTTAAATTTAATTACATTATGATCACTAATACTGAGTGCTTCAGCCATATTCATCTTTTGGATCAGATCCTATGCTCCTGTACTTGTCTAAATCAAGAATTGCCTCTCCCCTTGCAGATTCCAGGACAAAAGCTGCTCCAAACAGCAGTCATTTATGGTGTCTAGAAATTTTCTTTGCATCCCTTCCTGAGGTGACATATAGACAGTCAATATAAGGATAGCTGAAATCCCCCATTATTACTGTGGTTTTTGCCTCTTCACTGTCACCATCCTGGTCAGGTGATCGGTAGTGTATCAGTGCTATACTCTTATTGTTCAAGCACAGAATTTCTATCCATAGAGATTCTATGGTACAGTTTGATTCATTTAAGATTTTTACTATATTTGACTCTGCTTTCTCTCACATATAATGCCACTCCCTCACCAGCGTGACCTACTCAGTCATTCCTATACCATGGTATAATGGTGTCCCATTGATTATCCTCATTCCACCAAGTTTCCGTGTTGCCTATTATATCCATATCCTCATTTAATGCCAGGCACTCTAGTTCACCCATCTCAGTATTTAGACTTCGAGAATTTATATATAAGCACTTCTTACATTTTGTCAATATTCAGTTGCTTACCTTCATGTGTTCTATTTCAATGGGACTTTTATATTTGATTGTTCCTCACTAGTTCCTACATCCACTTTACCAACGTCTTTCCTATCCTCTTTACTAGGATATAGAGTTTCCCCTTTAATAAATTTATCTCTAAGGGATGTCTCCTCCCCAAATCATGTGCTCCTGTGCACCTGTCAGTTTTCCCCCAGCCCTTAGTTTAGAAAAAAAAAAAAACTAAACTTCTACACCCTTTTTAATTTTACATGACAGCAATCTGCTTCCATCTGGGTTTAGGTGGAGCCCATCCTTCTTGTATAGACTCCTCCTTTCCCCAAAAGTTCCCTAGTTTCTAATAAAGGGGTTTAATAAACTTAAAACTGCCCTCACTACACCATTGTCTTCATCCATGCATTGAGACCCTGCAGTTCTGCCTGTATTTCCAGCCCTGAGCATGGAACTGGAAGGATTTCAGAGAATGCTACCATGGAGGTCCTGGACTTTAATTTCTTACCTAGCAGTCTAAATTTGGCTTCCAAGACCTCTCTCCTATCTTTCCCTTTGTCAATGGTACCTATGTGTATCACAACCACTGGCTCCTCCCCAGTACCACACATAAGTCTGTCTAGATCATGTGGTTCTCCCAGTCATCACAAACCCAACTATCTATATTTTTAATAATTGAATTGCTATTATCTGGCTGTTCCTAGTAACTCAGGATCTCTCCTTAGGAGAGGTGTCCTCAGTGCAAGAGGATACCAGGACATTCCTTCCAGATGATGTCATAACTAAGGGATTGTTTCCCTTGGCTCCAGCTTGATGTTCTCCTCCACTCAGATTTTCATCCTCCTCAACAGCCCAAAGGCTGTCAGATTGGGGGTGGGACTGTTCTACTGTGTCCTGAAAGTCTCCTCTGTGTACTTCCATCTCCCTTAGCTCTTCCAGTTCTGCCACTCCGGCCTCAAGTGTCTCTACAGTGTCCCTGAGGCCCATGAACTGCTTGCACTGCACAAACAAAAACACCACTTGCCCACAGGCAGATATTTGCACATGATGCATTCAGTGCAATAAACTGGATAGCCTCCACTCTGCTGCTGGATTTCTGCCTGCATTATATTTACTCTTGCAGGGTTTTTGTTTTTGTTTTTTGAGGGGGAGGGGGAAGAGGGAAGGGAGAATTGGCCTAAATTTAGAGTAGGTTTGTT